GGTTTGAACCGCCAGCCGTCTGGTTAGCAGGCAAGTGTCTTAGCCACTATGCTACCAGAGCTCCCACGAAATAAGAATAGCAGTATGGTTAAGAAAACATGACTCATCAATATGCTGTCTTCAAGAGACATACCTTAGACATAAGACAAAAATAAGTTAAAACTCAAAGGATGAAAAACATTTATCAAGCAAATGGCAACCAAAAAGAGGAGAACTGGCAATATTAACTTCTGATAAAATAGATTTTAAGGCAAAAACCAGCAAGAAAGACAAGGAGGGATATTATATAATGATTAAAGGGTCAATCCAACAAGAGGACACAGCCATAATAAATATCTACACACCCAATGAAGGAACCCCAAAATACATACATCACAATTTAACAGAATTGGGGAAAAAAAATATTTCACAATAACTGTAGGAGATTTTAATACATCACTGTCAATGAAGGACAAAAAAATGAGAAACTTAACAAAGATACAGAAGATCTGAACAACATAATCAACCAATGTGACCTTATAGATTTATACAAAACACTCCAACCAACACAAGCACAATATACATGCTTTTCCAGAACACATGGAATGCTCTCCAGAATAGACTGTATGTTAGGACACAAAACTAGTCTCAATAAATTAAAATTAAAAAAAAAAAAAGTATAAAGCATCTTCTCAGATCACAATGCTATAAAATTAGAAATAAACAATAGAAAGATGAAGGGGAAAAATCAAATGCATGGAAACTGCTAACACCTTAATTGAAAACTACTGGATAGTAAAAGAAATATGAAGTTAAAAAAAATTCCTTGAATTAAACAAAAATGAAAACACAACATACCAAAATCTTGGAGACACAGCAAAAACAGTGCTCAGAAGACAATTTAAAGAGGTCTTGTGCAGCACATTTATCCAATGTAATACACTGCTTGATTTTTTTTTGACTGCTGCTTCCGTGGGCACTGAACACAAATGCAAGTAAAATGAAATCCTTGATGTTGCTTACTGGTCTAGTTGTGAGAACTTTTGTTTTATGTTGAGGCATAATCCATATTGAAGGCTGTGGTGTCTTCATGACTTCATCATTAAGTGCTTCAACTCTTCTTCACTTTAAGCAAAGAAGGTAGTGTCACCTAGATATCACAGATTGTTAATAAGCCTTCCTCCATTCTTAATGCCACATTCTTCTTCATATAGTACAGTTTCTTGGATTGTTTGCTCAGCATACGAATTGAATAAGTATGTTGAAAGGATATAACCCTGACACACATTTCCTGATTTTCAACTATTTAGTATCCCTTTGTTCTGTATGAAAGACTGTCTCTTGGTTTATGTACAGATTCCTCAGGAGCACAATTAAGTGTTCTGGAATCCCATTCTTCACAATAGTATCCATAATTTGTTATGATCTACACAGTTGAAAGCCTTTGTATAGTCAATAAAGCACAGGTATCTTTCTGGTATTCTTTGCTTTCAGCCAAGATTTATCTGACATCAGCAATGGTATCTCTTGTTCCATGCCCTCTTCTCAATCTGGCTTGAACTTCTGGCAGTTCCCTGTCAATGTACTATTGCAACCATTTTTTAATTACCTTCAGCAAAATTTTACTTGAGTGTGATATTAATGATATTGCTTGATAATTTCTGCATTCTCTTGATCACTTTCCTTTGAAATAGGTACAAATGTGTCTCTCTTGCAGCTGGTTGGCCAGGTAGCTGTCTTCCAAATTTCTAAGCATAAACAAGTCACATCCTCCAGTGCTGTGTGTGTTTGCTGAAACTTCTCAATGAGTATTTCATCAATTCCTGGAGCCTTTTTCAATTCCTTTAGTGCAACTTGGACTTTGTCCTTCAGTATCATCAGTTCTTGATGAGAGAAATGAAATGAATGAATAAAGTTCAGCCTGAAATGGCTGAATATCGACCAATTCTTTTTGGTACAGTGACTCTGTATTCTTTACATCTTTTGATGCTTCCTGTATTGTTCAATATTTTGCCCTTGTTGTTGCTGTTAGGTGCTGTCAAGTAGGCTCCAACTCACAGCAACCCTATGTACAACACAATGAAACACTGCCCAGTCCTGTGCCAGCCTCACAATCCTTGCTATACCTAAGCCCATCATTGCAGGCACTGTGTCAATCCATCTCATTGAGGGCCTTCCCCTTTTTCAATGACTCTCCTTTATCAAGCATGATATCCTTCTCCAGGGACTGGTCCCTTCTTGACAACATGACAAAAGTAGATAAGATGAAGTCTGGCCATTCTCGCTTCCAAGGAACATTCTGGCTGCACTTCTTCCAGGACAGATTTGTTAGTTCTTCTGGCAGTCCGTGGTACTTTCAGTATTCTTTGCCAACACAACTCAAAAGCATCAATTCTTCTTTGGTTTTCTTTATTCATTCATTTTGCCCTTAGAATTCTTCAATATTGCAACTCAAGGCTTCAATTTTTTTTCTTCAGTTCTTTCAGCTTGAGTATCTTCTTTTTCTTTGACATCCCAACTCCAGATCTTTGCACATTTCATTATAATACTTTACTTTGTCCTCTCAAGTTACCCTTTGAAACCTTTTATTCAGATCTTCTACTTCATCATTTCTTCCATTTGTTTTAGGTACTCACCATCTAAGAGCAAGTTTCAGAGTCCCTTCTGACATCCATTTTGGTCTTTTCTTCCTTTCTTGTTTTTCCAATAACCTTTTGCTTTCTTCATGTATGATGTCCTTGAGCGCATCCCACAAACTGGTCTTTGGTCACTGATGGTCAGTGCATCAAATCCAGTCTTCAGATGGTCTCTAATTCAGGTGTGATATAATCAAGGTCATATTCTGGCTCTCATAGACTTGTTTTGATTTTCTTCAGCTTCATCTTACACTTACATAAGGGCAACAGATGGTCTGTTCCACAGTCGGCCCCTGGCCTGGTCCTGACTCATCATATTGAGCTTTTCCACTGTTTCTTTCCACAGATGTAGTTGATTTGATTCTTGTATTACATGTGGCCAGGTCAATGTGCAGTCACTGTTTACATTGTATATTATATGTATTTGCAATGAGTAAGTCACTGGTCATGCAAAATCTATCATGAGATTTCCAGTGTCATTTCTACTGCCAAAGCCATATTTTCCAGCTACTGTTACCTCCTCCTTATTTCCAATTTTCACATTCCAGTCACCAGTAATTATCAATATATTTTGACTGCATGTTTGGTCAATGTCTGATGGCAGAAGCTGGTAAAAATTTTCAATTCCTTCATCTTTGGCTTTAGTGGTTGGTGCATAAATTTGAATAATAGCAGTATTAACTGGTCTTCTTTATAGATGCCTGTTATCCTATCACTGACAGCACTGTACTTCAGGATAGATACTGAAATCTTCTTTTTGATAATGAACGTGATGCCACTCTTTTTTAATCTGTCATTCCTGGCATAGTAGACCATATGATTGTCCAAATCAAAATGGCCAATACCAGCTCACTTCAGCTCATTAATGTCTAGGATATCAATCTTTACATTTCATTTCAGTCAACTTTAAATTTTCCTACATACGTACTCTGTACATTCCATTGTCCTATTATTAACGGATGTTTACAACTATTTCCTCTCATTTTGAGTCATGCCACATCAGCAGATGAAGGTTCCAAAAGCATTACTCTATCCACATCATTAAGGATGACTCTACTTTGAGGAGGCAGCTCTTCCTATTCATATTCTGACTGCCTTCCACCTTGAGGGGCTAATCTTCTGGCACTATATCAGACAATCTCCCTACTATTCCTAAGATTTTCAGTGGCCAACTTTTTTCAGAAATGAACCTGAACACATCTTAATTCCTAGTCTATCTTGGACAAGAAGTTCTGCTGAAACTTGTCCACCATGGGTGACCCTGCTAGTATTTCAAATACTGATGGCATAGCTTCCAGCATCATAGCAACACAAGCCACCACCATATGAAAAACTGACAAGTGGTAGCATTAGCCATTGTACAGATGAAAATCAAAACAACAACAATGGGATATCCTCTCACCCCAGCATTAATAGCAAAGTTCAAAAAAATAGAAAATAACAAATCATGGCAAAGGTGTGCAGAGACTAGAACCATCATACACTGCTGGTGGGACTGTAAAATGGTGTAACCACTATGGAAAATAGTAGGGCACTTCAGTAAAAAAAAAAAAAAAAAGGAAACAGAAACACCATATGATATAGCAATCTCACTACTAAGAATATATCGTAGAGAAATAAGAGCCTTGACATGAATAGATATATGTACACCCATGTTCATCACTGCGTTATTCACAATTACAAAAAGGTGGAAACAAGCTAAGTACCTATCAAAGGATGAACAGATAAACAAACTATGGTACAAACACGCAATGGAATACTATGTAACATTAAAGAATAACAATCTGTGAAATACCTCTTAACAAAGATGAATCTACAGGACACTGCTGTGTGAAATTAGTTAATCACTGCTGTAAGAAATCAAGAAAAGGTTTACATACACAGAAAGAAACACTGTTTAAATGTTACTAGGGGTTGGAGGGAAAGGAATAGAAATCATTAATTAGAAGGTAAACACGTATTAATTTGGGTGATGGGAAAGGCAATATATAATAAGGCGAAGTCAGCACAAAATAATCAAGGCAAAGGAAGACACTGAAAGAAGTGCAGAGGGAAAGGCAAGAAAGGTAAATGCTATTACATACCCAATCCTGTGATAACAGTAATCTACAAGTGGACACATAGATAGGCACCCAAGGTGAACAGGGGTGGGAAGGCAAATGGTACTACATCAATGAATATATGTACTTTTGAGAGAGGATATTTCTATGTATATATTTTCATCTGCTGCAAATATATCCACGAGGATAGTAGAGCATACAGAATGTAAAGTTATGAAAACTTCTTAGTCACATCTTGAGGGAATGAGTTGGTGGCCCTGGGGGATCAGGACTATAGTCCTCAGACACACCAAGGTCAAGTGGCATAAAAAAAAAAGAATGTTCTACATACTACTTTGGTAAGTAGTAACTGTAGTTTTAAAAGCTTGTGTGTGGCCATCTAAAGTGCAAATATTGGCCTCTCTCCATTCAGAGCAAAAAAAAAAAAAGAGAGAAAAGTAAAATCAAAGACACAAGGGAACAATTAGGTGAAAGGACTAATGGACCACATGAACCACAGCCTAAATGATCCTAACACCAGAAGAACTAGATGGTGCCCAGCTACCATTGATGACCACTCTGAAAGGGATCACAATAGGAGGTCATGGATAATAAACAGCAAGTCTTGTTAAAGGAGAGAACTAATGAGTCTGGTTTCTTGAGTTACCACACTGTAATATTAAAATGTTCCACTTTCAACAAAAAAACACAAAGCATGAAAAAAATTAAAAAACAGAATAGTCCATTTAAAAGAACAAAATAAACTGATTAAAACTGTCTCTTACCAAACAAAGACTTTAAAACAACAATATTAAATATGCTCAAAGAGGTCAAAGAAATGTGGTGACAAACTAAAGGAAATCAAGAAAACGACACATGAACAAAATAAAAATATCAATAAATAGATAAAAACTATAAAAAGAAAACAAACAGCAGTACTGGAGCACAAAAGTACCGTAACTGAAATGAAGAATTCACTGAAGACGAAAGACGTAGCAAACTTCAAGACAGGACAATTGAAATGATCAAATCCAAGGAATATGAAAAGAAAAAAAAGATGAAGATAAATGAGCAACATATGCATTATATGGAGTCCTAGAAGGAGAAGAGAAAGGAGCAAAGAGAATATGTGAAGAAATAATGGCCAAAATCTCCAAAGAAGATATACAAATGGCCAAAAAAATCCAATGAAAAGAAGTTAAAGACCATTCATTAGTCATTAGGTAAATGAAAATCAAAAGCATAATGAAATATCACTTCCTATCTAGTGTTGTTGTTGTTACGTGCTGTCGAGTTGGACCCGACTCGTATCTAGTAGCACAGCTATAATAAGAAAAGAAAGACAACAGCAAGAGTTGGTAAGAATGTGGAGAAACTGGAACACTCATATTGCTGGTAGGATTATGAAATGGTACAGCCACTGTAGAGAACAGTTTGGCAGTTCCTTACAAAGTTAAAGACAGACTTACTATAAGACCCAGCAATTCCACTTCTAGGTATATACTGAAAAGAACCAAAGGCAGCAACTCAAACAGACACACTTACACCAAAGGTCACTGTAGCACTATTTACAATAGTCAAAAAGGGAAAACAACCCAAGTGCCCATCAGCAAAATACGGTATATCATACAATGGAATATTACTCAAGTATAATGAGAAATTAAGTTCTGATATATTCTAAACATGGATAGAATCTTAAAAACATCATGTTGAGTGAAATAAGCAAGACAAATACTGTATGATCCTACTTATATGAAATATCTAAAATACAGGCAGTCCCTAGGTTATGAACATCTGTCTTATGGACAAGTACTTGTTCTTTAAGCAGGGCTTCAAACTGGTAAAAAAAAAAAAAAAGGTCCAACAAAATGAAACAGGTACAAACATAAATTTTTATTTGAATGATTAATCACAGTAACCAGAAGGGAAAAAATTACAAATGAAGCCCTGGAATGGGAGATTCTGAAGAAGCATAGTGATCCTTTCAGGAGTCCGATGTGTGACAATGGATTGTTGGCAAGACTATGGAGAGACACACATACAAAGCAACATGGCCTACCACCATCTTTGAGTGGGGCAGCACCATCCCTGAGTGGGGCATTGCTGTTTCTGCTCAAAATGTGTTTTATGTGGTAAATTTGCCCTCACTATGAAATGACTGAATCAGTCCCTACTAGCAACAAATTCTTTGTCACAATCACATTCACTTGCTGCACTTTTAAACTGTCCGTAGCTTTTAAATCACTGAAAAGGCTTGAAGTTTTTTCTTGCATGTAAATAAGGCTACATAAGAACTCTATGTACTTGTTCCAACTGACCTACAAATGCTTTTTTTTTTTTTTAAATTGTACTTTGGGTGCAAATGTACAAAGCAGATTTGTTTTACATTCAATAGCTGATGTACATTTGATTTCACAGCCCTGCTTACAATCCCCAACCATAAAAAATTCTACTCCCTTCTCCTGCCTGTGACTAGCCTCTCCCTGTGCCCTTATCTATGCATTCCTGTCTGTTTCCGTTTTCCCTCTATGTCAATGCTGCCCTTCTGATGTCTCACGGCTGACTGATCTAGGGGTGCATCTCCCTAGGGTAAGTGGGTACATCTCTCTGGGGTAGGTGTTCTGGATGTAGGTCTTTCTACTGTTGAGCTGAGAGTCAATCCATGGAAGTTATTCCATTTCTGGGCCTGAAGGATAATCTGGGGCCATAGTCTCAGGGGTTCCACCAGCCTCTATTCAACCAGTAATTCCGGTCATTTTTGTGTTTTTGAATTTTGTTCCACATTTTTCCTCCCACTCTAACCACCATCTCTAATTCTGATTCCTTTCTGCAGGCATTGGTAGCCAGGCACCATCTAGTTCTGGTCTCAGGGTCATGAAGGCTGAGGACCTCATGGTCCACTGTATCTTTGGACTAACTGCTTCCAAATGACTTTGATTTTCTTTACTGTTCTTTGCCCCAGATGAGAAGAGACCAATAGCTGCATGTTAGATGGCTGCTTGAAAGCTTTTAAGATCCTAGTCGCTACTCACCAAAGTAGGATGTAGAACAAGATTTTTATGTACTATGTTGTGCCAATTAAGCATGATGTCCCCAGAGACTATGCTGACCTACAAATTCCTAAAGGCACAGATAGGAATAGATTTTCTCTGTAAACTTTCACCCAAATCATAATAAAAAGTTTAAAAAAAGATTTAAGAACATCTGAAAATGCAATGCTATGAATTATTTCATAACTTTAAAATCAAGGGTTTCCATGGTTATGTAATAGACATGAATTACCTGGTTTATATATTGTGTATGTTTGAAACGCCAAGCTGAGATCAGCATTCTGAAGGATGTTCAATAATGTTTCAGGGGTCTCTTTGAGCCACTGCTTACGGACATTATTTTCCCTATACCTTATTACAGAACCACCTAGTTGTGAAAAGGTAAAGGTTAGAGCCAAATAAAATAAAATTTTCAGTATGTATCTTTCTAGATCATTACAGTTTACTCTCTCCTAAAACCTATTTTATTAATCTATATGAACAGTGTCATCAAATATCCTTCAGAGTAATATTTAAAAAATAAAAACAACTCTAACACATTAAATAACTCTAAGAAAATTTTCTATGATAAAATAGTAGTATTCAGTCTTACTACCAACCTCTATCATCCTCTGCTATTAAACTGGAGGTCAGGATGGCTGCATTTTGCAAAGCAGTAACAGCTGTCTTAGACAAGTTTTTCTCCCACTGTCGCCTGTGAGGACTTGGTGACTTGGCTTTCTTTGGATAATCTGATTTATTACCTGATTTTAAAATACGAAAAAAGAATGCTAAGCATGTTATCTTACCTACTCATCTATATCTACACATATACTATAACAGTAATATTTTCTTTTCTCTGTAATACTCAGGTCTAGCAACAACATTCTTTCACATCTAAGCAGTAAAGAAAATGAGAACAAAAATTCCAAAATGATAAGGTGCAAAAACCATTAAAGTGACTCCATTAAAAAACATACATAGTCACAAGTCGTTTAACATCTGTAATACATTAAGCATGGAATAGGACGTTATGTGATTTGCACACTGTGTGAACACCCTGTCATAGTCTAGTCTAGTCTTTTCCTTTAAGCATCTCCAAAAAGTTTCATGCCTTAGCAGTGATCCTCAACGTGCTGACAAGGATTTGCTTTTGTGTTTTGTCCTCGATCTACATCATTAGCAATATCTCCATATCTGAAAATAGTTCCTACTAGAGTTTTCATTAGCCTTGTAGCTTTCAGTGGGGCAGATCCTTTAACAGCTTAGAGAATTTTTTCTTTGATTTTGAGGACTGTCATGATGTCAAGTGTGACGTGCCTAAACTGCAAGCAACAGAATTCACCGATTTTCCATCTTCATGTTGCTTAGTAACTTTTTGTTTCACTTCCAAATCAATACTTCTCCTTGGCGTCTTGCTGCTGCTATCACTAGAACCGGTTTTGCTGCATTTGGGAGTTATGATGCACTTCATGGTAATATTTTCAAGAGAAAATTAAACACAGAGATAACGCTACAACACTCAAAGAGATGCACAACATGAGACTATGAGTTGAAGTAGAAACTGTCACAGGGTAAAATTTTTAGACAGAAATTACAGTACATACACAAACCAGTAACACAGGTGTTTATTATGAATATCAAGACATGTATTATGGGTTATAAATGTACTATATGATTGTACACTTGGTAGTACAATTGCTTTGTATACAAGAGACATGAGAAACTTGTTGCATGCGGGAAGCTATTGCATTTGCTGCATTCTGTTCTCCAGTCAGGATTTCTGAACTCTATTATAACCTTATGGGACCCAGATATATATGCAGTCAGATGGTGCCTGAATGGACACTATGCAGTGCACAACTCTATTTACCTCTTATACAATACACAAGAACAAAGCCCCAACAGGCCTCATATATACACTATATGCCATACTTTTTATGGTGGATACTGCAAAAAATCCTACTTCACCTAATGGCTCTTATTGATAAACAATATTCTTTTTGTTACGAAAAATATTCTGTAACATTATATAAATTCGTGAATAAATAAACAAAAATCAACTTGTTTACTTACAACAACTAAGACCTGCTGTTGTTGTTCTTGTTACGTGCCATTGAGTCGGACCGACTCATAGTTCCTCCTCCTTGGTTTCCGAGGTGGTATTGCTATGGAAGTAGATTGCCCAACCTTCCTTCCAAGGAGTGGCTGGTGAGTTTGAACCTCCAGTCTTCTGGTTAGCAGTCAATGCCTTAGGCACTACACTACCAGAGCTCCCTAACTAAGATCTAGTAACATGAAAATCAGTATTCCTTTTATATTACCCAACTCCCCACTTATACAATGATTAGAATTTGAATAATTTACCTTTTTCTTCTCTCCTCAATGCATTTCCAACCAAATTTTTAGTAATTGTTTCTAAATCAGTGTGGCTACATTTTCTAATTTGTTCTTCCCCTTGCTTTAAAAGAGATTAAAAATACAGATTAAATGCTTGAACTGGTATGAAAAAGGTCAACAAATATGTAGTCAATTTAATTTTTTAAATCAATTAATTTTAAAACATTAATAGCCAGAGAATTCCATACATACATGAATGTATGTGTGTGTATATATGTATCATACTCATACTCACTCAATGCCATCAAGTTGATCTGACTCATAGCGACCCCTCCTTGGGTTTCTGAGCAGTATTACTACGGAAGTAGATCGCTATTTTCCTTCCAAGGAGTAGCTGGTGGGTTTGAACTGCCAGCCTTCTGGTTAGCAGTCAAATACCTTAGGGACTACGCTACCAGAGCTCCCATACACACACACATATACATATATATCCATATACCCCCAAACCAAACCAAACCCCCTGCCATCAAGTACATTCCAACTCATAGTGACTCCATAGGGTTTCCAAAGCTAAATCTTTATGGTAGTAGATTGCCTCACCTTCTTCCTGTAGAGAGCTGGTGGGTTTGAACCACTGACCTTCTGGTTATAAGCTAATGCTTTACCTACTGTGCCACCAGAGCTCCATATATATATATATATATACACACACACACACACACACATATAGACATATATATACTTATATATATATGTTGTTGTTGTTGTTGTTGTTGTTATGTGCCGTCGAGTCGGCCCCGACTCATAGCAACCCCTCCTTGGGTTTCCGAGGCAGTATCACTACGGAAGTAGGATTGCCCAACCTTACTTCTATACCTATATATACTTATATGTGTGTGCGTGTGTGTGTATATATACTCATAGCTATGTAACACCCTGCTGTGGAGTCAATTGTGACTTATAGTGACCCTACAGGACAGAGTAGAACTGCCCCATAGAATTTCCAAAGCTATAATCTTTAAGGAAGCAAACACATCTTTCTCTTATGGAGCAGCTGGTAGTTTCAAACCGTTAATTTTTTAGTTAGTAGCCAAGTGCTTAACCACTGCACCATCAGGGTGCCTGAATAGTTATACAGTTATATACATACATATAGGAACCCTGGTGGTACAGTGGTTATGCACTTGGCTGCTAACCAAAAGGTTGGTAGTTCGAACCCACTAGCTACTCCACAAGAGAAAGATGTGGCGATCTGCTTCTGTAAAGATTACCAAACCAAAACTCATTGCCATCAAGTAGATTCCCACTCATAGTGACCCCCACTGGGTTTCCAAGGCTGTAAATCTTTATGGAAGCATATTGCCTCATCTTTCTTGGAAATGCTATGAGACGGTTCTACTCTGTTTGCTTAGGTTGGAATCAATTCAACACCAATGGGAGGTGTGTGACACATATATTTATGTTAAAAGCCATATATATAAATTATTGCAAATAGGAGGAAGACATATACAAAATGATAGAGGTACTTGAGAGATCTTTATTGAAAAATGACAAAAATTTCAATATGGTGTACTGTTTTGGGCTTTTCATGCCAAAATACCCAAATGAGATTATATAATTGTTATATGTGACCAAAATGTTCTCATTTTATACTGTGTTTTCCAAATTATCTAAGCTCTTGATTTCATCAAGTACAGTAACAGATCTAGGCTTTACTAAACCTGTGTATGTCTTGGGAAAGAATGAATGAATATCCAGTGCCTATAATAGTGCCTGCCACATAGGCTCTCAATTATCTGTTGAATGACTCAATACATAAATTAAACAGTAGGTCTTAGGTGGCACAAGGATTTTTTAATTTTTATATGGTGGTTCTCAAGCTTTTCTCCCCACACATCTATGGAACATGTAAGTATCTATCACTTAACAATGGTGACACACTATAGCAGTGACTTCAAAGTCCTCCCCTACCAAGACATCAGAATTTTGGAGGGGCAGTTGTGATTAGTAGCTTTGAAAAGCCACCCAGCACACTGTGGAAAGCAGTATGGTGATTCCTTTAAAAGCTGGAATTAGAAATACCATTTGACCCAGCCATTCCATTACTAGGTATATATCCTAAAGAAATGAGAGCCAG